GCCCTCCCCAGAAGAAAGGGCCAATGGCCAGCCCCCCACAGGGACGACTGGATAGGACCTCTGGGACTGCTGCCTGACCCTGGGGATGGACCACGGCCTCACCAAATTCCCCCGAACACTGAGGCACGGCCGAGCGGACCAAAGCAAACACCCGGCTTGGGGGCCACGACTGCATTGCCAGAACCTCATTAGGACCTAGTGCTGGCCCGTGGACACCCTGCCAGCACTGGAGGACCCTAAGACACCACCGGCCAGCCAGGTAGGACCCCAGGGGGAATTAGGGAGTGGCCCAGGGAAAGCTGACATCCCGTCGGCTGATGAGATGGAGGTCGGGTAGGCAGCGCTTTGCGGCTGGGACTCCCGCTGACCCACCGACCCAGTCAGCGGATTGTGGCTTGGATCCCCGCCGACTGAGTGGCCACCTGTGCTGCCACTACTAGGGCCCTGGGCTGGGACATGGTGGAGTAGGGAGGGCCTACATCCCCACCCGCCACCCCATCACTTGGGAGAAACTCCCTGCGCTTGTTGGTTCTCCGCTGAGCTAGGAGAGCCGACTCTCAACTCGGCCCGCAACCAGGCCTGAGCAATCAGACTATTAGAAACTTTGTATATATTTGTCGCCTTGCCCTGACCCAGGGCCATGGACAGTCAGACTACTATAGACTTTGTGTAGGTTTGCAGCCCTCCCTGACCACAAGCTGGGGCCACCCTGAACTGTCTCAGACTCTAGGAGTGGCTGCCAGTAGTGAGTCAATAGGGCCGCCTGCTGACCTGGACGGGTACATCCTGGTTCAATCCCTGATCTGTTGGCCAAGAGAACAACTGTCATGTTGACGTCCCTGCCTGGCTACCTCTGTGTCTTGCACCAAAATCTCCGTGTGATCCTGGATGGCCCCTCCGTCTCTGTCAGCCTCTGGGAGCACAGTCTTTCTGCAGATTGTGTGCACGAGCGCCTGCCAGGCAAACTGCTTTCGTGACTTTTTTCTTTAATTAACAAGAAAAGAGCGATTGCCACTTGTCTGCACACTCAACAGAGAGGAAAATAGATTCAAGGCTAGAAATGACTAAACTACACTTGTAACACCTGATTTCTTCAGCCTTGAATGGCAGGCAGGGGACAGAGGCTGCTTGACTGTCCATAATGCCGGTTTTAGAGGGTGCTGTGGGTCACGGTTGTCATTCCCATTGGACAGTGTCTAATGTGAGATGGAAAAGCAGGGGGAGGGGAGGAATATTCAGAGTTCTTCTCCACTTAGATTTTGAGTCATCTTCTGTCTGAACACTAGAGGATTCTCTGATTCAAAAATAGTACCATGCCCCGTGTGGTGTCTTTCTCCGGGGAGACGAGATGGGACCCAACTCTCACAACCACAAAGAAGTTTTTTGATGGATGCAACAGCTCTTTTATTCCCAGACTGGACACCAAGCCTGTGATTTTTTTTTTCAAAATGTGGGGAGGGCCTGAAGTTAGCCCACTAAATCCACATTTCAGCACCCGAATTAGTGGTTTGATCATGAATAGGGCCATGCACCCAGCTGTTGCTCCTGTAAGTGATTTAGGTGCCTCATTAGAGTCTTGGGAGCCTAACATTAGTCACCCTAGTTTGAAAATCTTGGCCAGCCTACGCTGCCGAGTGTTACCATGCTGAGGGTATGTCGACGCTGCCGTCAGAAGCGTGACCACAGCACGTGAGCCTTGTGCATCCGTGAATATCTGCTTTATATCCGCAGGTATCTGCATTGGCGGATGTCAGTGCAGATATCTGTGGCTTGTTTTTGCAGATATAGATGCGGATACACGTTTTGTATCTGCACAGGGCTCTACATGTAGGCATCCCCGAGATAGTTTTGATCTAGCTAGCTGTGAAGTTGTGGCAGTGTGGGATGTACAAGCCCACCCAGGACCCTGGATTTATATACGAGGCGCTTAGTCCATGTTCGCACCTGTGATCTTGCAGCTGCATGTCTGCCACTATTCAAGCGTGCTAGATCTCAGTTAGCTTGGACAGATCTGCACGTGCTGCAGTGTAGATATATCTGTAGGGTGAAATCCCGCCTCCCCGGAAGTCGTCAGTAAACTCCCATGGATTTCAAAAGGCCTGGCACTTCATCCATTGTTTCCGTAAGACCTGGGTTCAAGTCAGAAACAGTCCCAGGCTGGATTGCTGCAGTTCTCTGCATGCAGTGAAATCTTTTCTGGATCAGGAGGCTAATGGACTATTTCAGTGCGTGCACTCTTGCCTCTGTCACTGAATCCAATATAAAAACAAATCTCCTCCCCGCCCCAATCACAGGCTGGGTGTCTGATGTTCCCAGCTTTGCTCATTTGAATTGCATGTGACCATGTGCATCTCTACAATCTGATATTACTCACTGGATAGTAGCAGGTGCGACTATGTACGTCATTCATTCATTTCTCTTTGCACGGTGACCTATTTCTGAAGGACAAAGCTCGGCTTGGGCTGGAAGGGGGAAATTGACTGTGTTCTCCTTTTAATTCAGACATTTCTGAACACCTGTAAGCACACACACAGTCATTGCTCAGTCCCCATTCACTAAATATATCTCACGACAAGAAACCAAAGCTGGCAACAGCCGTGAACGGCAATCGTGTTGGTTCTAGAAGGAGCAGCATGCCCAGTAGGAGCGGAGCTTTCTAGAGCAGGCAACCCCCATAAAATTAATGTGAACTAAAAGTTCAGAACATTGGCATTGGTGCTGGGCGATCACCTGACTTGAGACATTTATTTTTGGAAGAGCTTGTGGAAGACTCAGGTTAAGCTTTGGAGCAGACCTCAGGTCCCATAAAGCATCGTTGCTGGGTTGATCGTCGGCGATGCTGTCACTAGCTTATACCAGCTGATTATCTGGCCTTTTCAATGTCTGCTGCCCTCCTTTCCTGCCTTCCTGGCTGTTAGTCACCGCTTTTGGATCCCTGATGGGACTGCAGGGTATCTTATTTGATTTTCACGTGGTCACAAAAGCATGCTAGGCGCTTCACGGACAAGTCAGAAGTCGAGGTCCCTGCCGTGAAGAGCTTGCAATCTGCCAGGGTCAACTCTCTCAACCTGTAAGGATTCTCATGCAGTTTATATGGGTGGTGACGCTGTGTCTCTAAGCTCTCCTCTGTCCTCCGATTTATGTGATTTAACAGCTAGAAAGCTCATGATTCACTGCTGCCTCTCCGGTAAAATATATCAACCTGTATTTGATTTAATGGATTTAACAGGTTGAAACTCTTGGCTTGGAAACTCATCTGGCTGTAGTTGTGCCTATATGATGCATTTGGAGGGGCATAAGAAAGAAGCGGTGGTCAGTGGATATAGCAAAGCTAACTGGTCCCCTTGTAAAGCCTGCTTTAACTTGAAGAAGCAATGGAACAACGCTGGTTGACTGATCTGTCTCCATTGAAATAGATTTTGAAGTAGCCTGTTTACAACTCCCTGCCCCATTGGCACCCCCAGCTGTTATCAAACTAAGATTGCCAGTTGCTAGGAGGTGGGGTGATTCATGATGCAGTGGTTGTAATGAAAGAAGAGCTGAATCCCACACCGTGATGTTGGATCCCAGAAGAATATGATGGCCCATTTTGGCAGGGCAGATAGGAGCAGCTCGAATCTTAACCGTACCGGGCTTTCTTTCATCGGGGGTTTTGGGGTATGCTGCCTGATTGAAAATCCTCAGAACCACAGCATCTTTAAGCACTCCCCCACATCTGCACGCAGACAAGATGTGACAATAGACCCCCGATGTGACTGACTAAGGATTGAGATTATAAAAATAAAAAAGGTCACGAAATGTAACATCTCCGAATTAGAACGGCTGGCTCTAGTGTGATTGCAGTGCTGTATGAGTGGTGAATAGCTTTTCAAGAGCAGAGGATAAAATCCTTTTTAGAGACTGTCTGAGTGCGAGAGAGAGGTTTTTCAAATTGCTCCACCATGGGATTACAGAGGTGATGCTATGCACCACATCTTCCTTTGTGTCCTTCTTACCACTGCAAAGCGATTTCCTGTAGGGCATCAGAAGGTGAAGAGATATCGACTTGTTCATCATCTCTCTCACTTTCCTTATGCGGTTTCTTCCCCCACCCTCCAAATCAGGAAAAATGCCCCGTACAATTGGTCATTTGTAAGACTGGTGTTCATAAAATCAAGATTCCACTCTCTTGTATTTATGAGCATTGGCAGTGGCACCTAGACTGAGATCAGAGCTGTTTCGAGTTGGGGGCTGTACAGACACGTAATGAGAGACAGTCCCTGTCCTGAAAAGTGTACAATCTAAATGGGCAAGGCTGAGGCACAGAGCGTTGATGGACAGGAATTTCAAAGGTGCCCAAGTGATTTAGGAACACCGCTCCCTTTGTTTCTTTCATTGAGACTTGCGCTCCAGTGTTACATAGGCGCGTTGGGAAACCTTTTCTAAGTGATTGAGTAGGATTCTTCCTACCGTCACAACAGTTTATTGAACAGAGCTGCCCAAGCATTTTTAGGAAGGCCCTGGGTGTCCTGTCTCACACCTGTGTTCTAGAAACCATCCAGTTCGGTATTCCAGTCCCATCACAGCCCTTGGAAGCAAATATCCTTAGGTTTGTCTGGCCGGTGTTCCCATGTGTACAGTGGTGATATTTCATTATCACTGCTTCCCACATGGGCCTCAGACGTTTCCTTAATGATGCCAGGAGTTCGGGGAGGTGGAGCCAATCTTACAGAACTGTGTTTTCAGCTCTTAAACGGCCTTATACTCTCAGGACTGATCTTCAAACCAGCAGGGCTATTAACGTAGATCTCATTCGCTTTCCTGAAAGAAGCTGGTCAAGAAATAACCTTTGCCAAGGGACAGCTGTCTAAGTTTGCATTCAATACAAAATAGTAACTCTTGCCCTTTGTTTATTTATACAGGCAGCTCTCAGGGAGTATATTCTCCCATTTCACGTACTAAATTGCATTACGTAAGCCCATTGACTTACCTGATCTTTCGCTTCTCTCTTTGGAAAACAGGCATGTGAGCCCAGCGGGTATTTTGCTAACAGCTGTTGTGGCGGTTTCCTATATGATCGCAATACTGTATGAAGGGTGAGTAGCTTTTCAAGAGCACAGAATAAAATAATTAGAGACCAAGCCAGAGTCCCACTGGTGAGATTTTTCCAATTAGCCCTCCGAGGGAAAAATGTGTATTTGTTTTTAAATCACCTTCAATCAAACAGACTGAGGTTTTAAGTTGGCTCCTATGGGGAGAGGAGATTGGGTATTTTTGATCTCTCTCTCTCTCTCTCTCTCTCTCTCAATTCTACATGGCAACAACTGTAAGGAAGTCCATAGGCAGAGTGTGGGAATCGGACAGTGCCCTGCAAAAAATAGTTTGCATTCTGCTGTTCCTTTTTACACATTCCTCTGATCTTTGCCCTGCATGCTAGGTGCATGCTGAATGTGGCTGCCTGGAATATCCATCAGAGGTGTCAGTTGTACTTCCCCAGTGACAGAGTTCAGATGCCCTGAAAGGTGATCTGCAAAGGGTGAAAATGGGAGTTTGGGCTCTTGCTCTAGATGAATAAAAGAGAACTGGAAATGCAAGGGGCTTAGTGTGCTGAAGCTTGTTCCCCACTTGGCTGTTTTATTTGTTACGTTTTTGTCTCAAAGGTGAGTGAGAAGAGACGTAAGTCGGATCCTCACCTCCGGCCATACCGCCAGAGCCAAAGCGTGTGCACACAAAGGGGGTGGAGAGCACACCTTTCTGCTGCTATAGCTCCACACCAGGTTAGAGCAGCGTGGAGGACTGCTCTCCCTTACATCAGCAGCTAGTGCTCCAAAGAGGCTGAAAAGCCCAGGGCATGCACAGCGTCTGGTAGTATTTCAGCCACACCCCACTTCCCCTGCTACGTTCACAATCAGGAGGGGGTTTGCGTTGGAGCCCTTCTGCCCAGTGGATCACCATTCGCCTGGAGCTGTCCTTCTGGGAATGGCCACCCGGCTTTGGGGCAAAAACATGCGTGAGGTGCAATGCTGTGGCTGTGCCCCTGAGAACTTAGTCCAAGCTCTGCGCTTGGAAGAGGCCCAACAAGAGTGAGCCTCTTGCCACCCCAGCGTCAGGATTCTGGATATTTCCCAGGGGTGAGTGGTCCTAGGAGTGTCATTGAAGCTGGATGGATTTATGGCCAAGTCTGGTCACTAGCAGGCATTATCCAGTCCCCCTTTGCACACGTCAGCGGTACCTGCGTCGAGACACTGAGCCTGCTGCGGAGGGAGCTGGCAGCTTCCCCTGAGACCAGACCAGCATTCTGTGACTCTTCACCCAGGGGCTACACAACTTGCCTCCTTCCACCTCCCTCCCTGGAGCTAGTGAGGGGTGCCTTTACAAAGCCTCTACCGGAGGTGTGGGGGGGTATCGTTGTGTACACCCTGGGCCTTGTTTTGTCACAGATTTGCATGCTGCAGGCACAGTCACTAGATGAATCACACACTCAGACGGGGAGAAGGGGCTGGAACCTTGCTCCTAAAACAAAGGGTAAAGGAGAATTTTGTTAGCTGATGCTAGTGGCAGGTCCCATACCCTCTAGGCCAGGGCTATTCAACATGTGGCCCACGGCCCCTTTGTTTGCAGCCCATGCTGCAGTTTGGGTTTATGAAAGGGCTCAACACTGTCCCGCGGGTGGGAGCCAAAACACAAAAGTCGTCAATCTAATGGTCTTCTGTTGAGATGCGTTTGAGTAGTTAAATTCCTGGACTGTCGTTGCTCATTGAAAGATCTGTCACAGAGGTGGAAATCGGGTGACTGTTGCATTTTATTAATATCAGCAGAACTGACTTAAATGGGGCCTAGTGTGTTGTGTAGTCTTACCTAGGGTTGCCAGGTGTCCGGTATTTTACCGGACAGTCGGGTATTTGCACGCTCTGTCCGGTTTTAAAAAATCAGAAAATACCGGACACGTGCAATGTCCAGTATTTTCTGATTTTTCCAGCTGCGCACCGGACGGAAGCCTGGAGTGGGCGGGGGAGCGGCTGGGAGTCCCAGCTGGCAGGGGGCCGCACTTGCCGCTGGGAGCCCTCTGTTGGTTGAGTGTGAGGAGGAGGGGAAGCCGCCTCCTCGCTTGTGCGTCGCCGGGAACCTGCGCGGGACAGGCAGCAAATGCCCAGGTCAGTCCCGCTCCCCGCTGGCCAATTTGCTCACCCCCCCTTCTTGGCCAGCCAGTTCTCCCTCACTTCCCCTCCTGATCTTCCCCGGCCAGCCCCCCCAGCTCTGCTTCCTGCCCGCCCCCCCCCCCCTCACCACAAGCCCCTTCCCCTCCCCTACCTGGCTTCTGCCTCCCAGTTTGCGGGGCTGCTGAAGCCTTTTTTAATCCGGCGGTCGCCGGCCGTGACGTCACAACGCCACATCACGCCAGCATCCTCGCATCTGCTGGCATCCCTCCCTCTGGCTCGCGCCCTGACTCCTTGCACCAGAGCTGTATGCAGTCAGCCCAGCGGTAAGAATCGCCGCACTTCCCCCTCCCCACTGGTACTCCACTCCTCTGCCCGGCTGGCAGATTGGATGGGGCCACGCCGCCCATAGTCGGCACGGGCCACACAGTGATCCCCTGCGGGCTGCATGCGGCCCTCAGGCCATATATTGTGCAGGTCTGAGATATGCCATTCTGAGCTATCTCTGCTTCCTACAAAGAGACACGGAACAGGAAAGGATGCATGGGAGATGTGGCTTTTTTGGGGGGAGGGGTTGGTATTTTTTTCATCCATCTGTCAACCCTAGTCTTGCCTTAGTTTTTGTATTCATGCCCATCAGTGTGAGAGAAGCTATTTGCGTGTCTATGCAACCACATGTAAGTTGTGGCCCTCAGCATGTGCTGTGAGTTTCATTGTGACCCTGGGGCTTCTAAAGTTGAGGAGCTCTGCTCTAGGCCTTGCCACACAGGGTTAGTAGTACATACACCTACAAAAGCCAGTGCATTACAGAGGACCACACCGTGTGCTGCATTCTAGATGACAAGTGTGGGAATTCCCAGGACTGCGGTATTCTTTCTTGTTCCAAAACAGAGTCTCCCCGATCTCTAGGTGTTAGGAGGGGACAGGAGCAGAGATTGTGGTTTTGGTTTAATGGCAGGTATTTCTCTCTCTCTTTTTTTTTTTTTTTTCTTTCCTACTTTTCCCCGTCCCCAACAGACCTTTCACGGAAGAAATCTATCAGCAGAAACAGAAGGCAACAAAGAACAAATAACTGCAGGTGTGTTTGCAGAGTACTGAAAGCACAAGAGCGCAGTGATTTCAGTGAAGGGAGTCGTCTGCTGGGCCAGCCACCTGCGCAAGATAATTTGACGGGATAAGAGAACTCAGCCTGACTTCTAATTATGCCCTTCTCCAGCTTTGCATTTGCTGCCTCTTTCTAATCCCTCTCTCTAGTTCTCAAGTGATTTTGAAGTTCAAGCTCCCACAAAACCCATCTAAAAAGGCTTCTTCACAATGAATTTTGTTCCCACTTGGTTCCTAAACAGCCACGGCTGAAGTGTTTTGATTATAGACTTGAGCCTGAAAGAAAGGCAGAAATCGGCAGGGAACCTTGAAGTTACACATTTAAACTCTATAAATCTGCAAGAAAACCCCAGCGACTGTATGCGGCTCAAATGGGACCGGCGTGATTATGCAGAAGTGCACACACTCTCTTGTGAGCCTGCTTTGTGGACACGCGCAGCAGATAAAGCCATGCCTGTCGGCTTCATTGCAAGTAGAGAGTGGGTCCTTCCAGACACACACGTGCCCTTGCTTGTGTGAGGGAAAACTCAGCCCCAGCGGCCTGGTTTTTAGATTTGTTTTTAGACCCGAGCAAAAAAGAACTGTGCAAGTAGCTGGCTCGTCTGCCCACACATTTACTGCCATTGTACCTTTTCCCCGTCTTACATCCACCAACGTTTGGTCGAGATTTTCAAAAGTGATTTGTGACATTGGAGGCTCCAGTTTTCGAATGCACAGAGGGAGACATCGGGCCCCATCACGTTGCCTAAAGTTGGGCAAAAATCACTAGTCCCTTTGGCCACCGTTGGCCAAAGCTCACTTAAGCTTCTAGTCTACGCTGTAGCATCAGTGCCTATCAGATTAGATTTGCCACTGGTCCTACGAAGCATGCCTCCTCACATCCAAAGGAAACTGTGCGATAAACGGATCTCCAGAGCATGCAGAAAGCAGAGATTCCCAGGATCCTGCTCGCTGGTGATCGATGGATGGTGATGGTGTAACGGTCTTTATTTTTCTCTTTCTTTGTGAGACAGGTTTTTTCAGCTTCTGTACACGTGGTGTGGTTTGCTGGGCCCCTGGATGTGTCATTCGCCCATTAGCCAAACAATCCCCTTCTTGCCAACTAATTATACTACAGCGGTTGCAACAATTAGAGAAACAGCCAGAATCAGAGAGTTAAGCGAATTCCTGGGGACCCAGGAGTTCTGCGTAGCTCAGTCTGTTCCTTATGTCTCCTCCTTTTGCCCAGGCTCACCAAAGCTGCAGCAGATACACAAAGGAAGTAGCTGAGAAGAAGATTATCTCAGAGAAATATCATGCAGCACCTTTCAACCTTTCTCCCATCCATCCTGGCAGAAAACAAAACTAGTTTTTAGTGGCTAGAAAAACAAAACAATCCCTCCCCCCCCACCCCAGCAAAACACAACCCAGCTGTATTTTCTAAGGAAAGGCCAGTGAAATCTTAAATAGGGCCCTGGGGAGATGTTTGTAAATAGTTTCTCAGGACAGGAGCTGCCTCTCTCAGCCAATCTTTCATGCAGATGTCACTGGAAGGAGACTGTTAAGTGGAGTGACTTTCAAAAGGCTGTACAGGATTGATGTCCAAGGTATTTAGCTGGCACTCTGCACTTTTAATACGGTGCATTTAATCTAGCCATGAGCTGTAATTGCACCGTTGGCTTGAAAAGTTGACACCTCTGAGTTGGCAGGCATCCCAGCTTCTCTCAGTCCTGTGGTGACTTTGCAAATAGCCCCTATTGTGGAGGAGCGCAAAACACAGAATGGCTCTGCCAGTCCGCTGAGGCAGAAGTTGAACTCTGGCGGATAAGCCGATGTCCCCCAGAAGGTGGCGCTCTGCTGCGTTTGAACCCACTTACCCAGCAATGGAGACGGAAGGGGAGGCGTCTGCCAAGGCACTGGGAGAGGCGTGAGAGTAAGCACCATGCGATGAGTGGATTTCACCAGGGGAAATCATGCAGGCATCTCCAAAAAGGGAAGATGACGGTGTTGTCTGGGGATTAGGGCTGTCAGTCAGGGCACTGAAGTCTGCCACTCGCTCAGTGGAAGTAAGACACCGAAATACCTTTGAAGGTCTGGGCTGTAGGGCTCAGTTAGAACCAATGAATCCTGGAAACCCAGTTGAAGTCTAGAGGAGCTGTAGCTTCCTGATCAGTCGTGGCCTGTGGCTCCCACCTGTTATGCTGACCCAACCCTCACAAGGCTTTTGTGAGGCTTACTTAAATTGACATGTATAAAATGTTTTGAGGTGCGGGGCTGAAAGATGCCATAGAAAGATGCTGGGAGAAAGGTTCCATGCAAAGAATAGCATCCCAGTTTGTTGTAGTCTGTACTGAGCTGCCTTTGGGCGGTTTCATGGACCCTGTCTTTTTGTTCCTTTAACTGACTTGCTGCATCTTTATTGAGCAGTGTGATTGCTGGCAGTACAGGAACAGTGTCTACTTGTTGGATGCTTGATCAAAGGGCAGGCAGGGTTCACTATGCAGGGTGGACACACACACACAATCCTTTTTGCAGAGAGGCTGCACTGATGCTAATGGTCTTTTCATCTCTGTCCCGCTGGAGGATGGGGGGTTGTTTGTCTTTCTTCTCTCTCTTTTTTTTTTTTTTTTTTGTTTGCATTAACACTGAGCCATCCCCTGCACACCAGGAATTGAAATCCTAGCCCTTGTGTCTAGCTCTTCAAAAGATCCTGAGGCTTGAACTCATTCTGAATAGGAAGGGCCAAGGGTTAACGCTCCAGGCCTGAGTGAATGATGGTTTTGGGCTCCTGAGATGGTTAGAGGCACTTTGAGAAGAAAGCCTTGTGAAGAGTCAGGTTTAAAATGTAGGAAGAGAAATGAAAGCTGCACGAAGAGGGGAGGGGCTTGCCTTGTTATCGAGAGGAACTGGGGTTAAAACTGGAAACTTGGAGTTAGGACTCCTGGTTCTATTCCTAGTCCCACGACTGTCCCCACTACATGATCTCAGGAAAGACACTCTCTCTCCATACCACTCCCCTCCCCCCCCTTTGTGCATCAGAAGTAATAATCTGATCTCTGGTCCAGCATTGTTCCGGGTATTAATGTTTGTAAAGCACTGAGATCACTGACAGGAAAGCGCTTCAGCAGACCTTAGCTTTCTGAAGAACTTCAACACTTGGCATTACTGAGCATGATAATGTCCTTAGTAAATCCCAATAGTCCTTTTACTCCCTTTATTGTCTGTCATTGTGATTCTGCTGCTATCCTTGGTTCCTTGTGGATTTCTTCTCTGAGGCCACGTCTACGCTCCAGGGAAGATCTGCGTTGTTGCGATTGATCTTCCGGAGTTCAGTTTAGCGGGTCTAGTTAAGACTCGTTAAATTGAACTCAGAGGGTGCCCCCATCAGCAGCCAGTACTCCTGCTCCAGCTGTGAGTAAGGGAAGCCAACAGGAGCGTTTGCTCCCATCAGTCTTGCTCTGCGGGAATGGCAGGGAAACTCAAATCTAGGTACGTCAACTCTAGCTACATAATTAACACAGCTAGAGTTGCGTATCTTGATTCGACCTTCCCTTTAATGTAAACCAGGCCTCAGTCACATCTAAACCTTCCTAAGCGATTGCTCTGATTCCTTCCATACAGTCTAACCTTCATCTGTTGATTTCCTCTGTACATTTCACTTCAAGTCTCTGCAAACTTTTACTTTCTGAACTGGCTCCAGCACCCAGAAACTTTACATGGGTGCCAGGAAGGAGGGGGAATAGTGCTATGGCACAAATGTTACTTTTTTTCTGCAAATAAAAATGAACCCCCTCCCCAACCTGTGCCAGACGACGTGTCAGCTGTTTCCTCCTCTTGAGTCCACCCCTTAATATAGTGGAATATCCTGTAGCTTTTGCATGATTGTGATTTGCTCAGTTCTCTTTGTAAGTCACTGCCCTGATGTTACCAAAAGAGAATTAAATCGATTTTTTTGAATCAAAAGGTTGTTCGCATCCAATCTGTCTCGTGGACGCTGCATTTCTGTTTCAGAGTTTCAACACCGCCAAGTCGGAGGGATTATTCTTTGTCAACAACCTTATTTATAAAGACTTTTGCATAGTATTTTATTTTTAGACAAGTTTCCACATCCCCTTCATGGCTAATGTTTACAGTCAGAGGTTTAAAGTGGCCCTGTATCCATAGCAACCAATGAGGAGAAGATACATTATATTATGCCGACAATTTGTCAGAGCTGCTCACCGAGGCTTAAAGTAACTGATATAAATAATCCAACGTTTGCGGTTTGGTTGGTTTGTTAGTATTTTCAGAGGAAAAGATTCTTTCCTAAGAAGTAAACATTAGCTAGAATACAGATAGGGCCTAGTTATTATTTATTTGTATTACTGTAGGCCTAGCTCCTCAGAGATTATCTATCAGAGAAAATACAGTGCCTTGCATGGTGTCAAGTATCAGAGGGGTAGCCGTGTTAGTCTGAATCTGCAAAAGCGGCGAGGAGTCCTGTGGCACCTTATAGACTAACCGAAGTGTTGGAACATAAGCTTTCGTGGGCAAAGACCCACTTCGTCAGATGACATGCATCTGACAAAGTGCGCCTTTGCCCACGAAAGCTTATGCTCCAACACTTCGGTTAGTCTATAAGGTGCCACAGGACTCCTCGCCGCTTTTGCAGATTCAGACTAACACGGCTACCCCTCTGATACTTGACACCATGCAAGGCACTGTATTTAGCGGTATGGAGTGGAAATCTATCAATCTCATGAAGAAACTTGCATAAGTACAAACAGATATCATCTTTCTCTCCAAATGCATAAAGATTATCTAGTCATCTATTCAAACCAGTGGAGTTAGGAGCTGTGACAAAACTCTTCACCATTTCGAAGGAATGGTTTAATGCCTCTTTCATTACCTAGCACAGTCTTTCTAAGAATTTGAAAGTAACTGCTTTGACATCTGTGTCTGGCAGCCTAGTTCTTACCATGCATGCCACTCAGTAGGAGTCAATAGTTGTTTTTTCCTTTTCCCCCATATCAGGGGGAAACCTACTTGGAACTAGGTTGAATAAAGTCCTAGAAAGCCAAACAGGAAGGGAGCGATCCTGCAATAACTTGGGGATGGGCTAGATGACCTAAGAGATTGGGTAGATGTTGAGGCACCTTGTCTACACACTTGCATGATCCAGACTGGAGCATTTCACCCCATAATTTCTGCCAAGTGTCCAACAATTTATGGTTGAACTTCAGCATCTCTGTTAGAAAGCATTTCATCTTCATTTGGAAGCCTAAAGGGATGGAGATCCCTTCCTGCCCCTCCCCCCCCCCAGGTAATTCATTCTAGTTTTTAACAGTCCTCATTGTTAACAGTTTTTGCCAGTTTAGGCCACGTCTTCACTTCTGAGATCGATCTTTCGGAGTTCGATTTAACAGGTCTAGTAAAGACCCACTAAATCAAATTCAGAGGGCATCCCCATCAGCAGCTGGTATGCCTGTTCCTGCGAAGAGTAAGGGAAGCTGACAGGAACATTTGCTCCCATTGGCCTCTCATTATGAGGACAGTGGGGAAACTCGAATTGAGGTACGTTGATTCCAGCTACATTATTAACATATCTGGAGTTGCATATCAATCTGGCCTTCCCTTTCTATGTAGACCTGGCCTCAGTGTTGCTGGCCAGCTCCTGAGTCTTGCTCTGCTTTATCTGCTAGATGAAAGAACCATTTAGAAGCAGGTGTCTCCTCCCTGTGTAGGCAATAGGTCTCTTCCATCACTGACTTCCAAGAGCCTCTTTTACCGCTGAACCTGAGCCAGCATGGTTGGACAGTAAGTGGTAATTGACATGTGAATCTGTCTATTTATGAATCACCCTCACATGGCACAGCTCTGTATCAGCCGACATCTGGACGGCACATCCGTTACGCTTTGCTTGTTCTAAGCATCAGTGCGTGACATCAACCCCACAGTACCATGTGAATGAGGAACTCCCAGGAATCATGCACACCTTTGCTGCTCCCGGGCCCCACTCCACCCAGTCGCAACTCTGTTGAAATGCATGATGCCTAGGGAGGAGCCTTACAGAGACCAGCGGGGCATTGGCACTGTTTATGGACACAGTGAGGTGAGCTCAGTTGGAGGGGGCCGGTCCTGGGTTCAGCCTTGTCTTTGGAGCACTGGATGTGGGTAGATTTGTGTCATCCCAGGGGTAGATTGCCCCATGCCAGGAGGGAGAACCTCATGAGTCCCATGGTCATTAGTGAAACTCCTGCGTGCCCCTCCCAAGATTCCCACTTATCTCAATAAGTCATGGACTTCATTAGGGGAACATAACCCATTTCCAAAGGACTGCAGGAGGCAGGGGGGTTGTACAAAAGGTGCTTGCATAGACGGGTTCTGCTTTACTGTTGGTACATGTAACCATTCCTGCCGCATGGGACGCAGCTTGCATGGATACCCACGGGCCTATTGTCCGGGGGGGGGGGGGGAGCACTTTGGCGAAGTGGAAATGTCAGGCCAGGATATGTCTGATATTTCCAAGACAATACACCGGAAGAGCCCCCCCAGGCCTCTTCGTTACCCTGCAACAATAGAAAAATCTGGAGGATTTAGGCATGTGGCACAGGTTTGCAAGTGCAGCGCTGATGTGCCTCGACGCTGGGTGCGCAGTGTAACGGGTAAGAGTCGTCCATGTGGCTGCCAGCCCCGTTCTGTTCCTGCACAGGAGAATTGTTCCAAATCAGCTGCTTCTAACAATCAGGGTTTGTTTGCTCCGGCTACGACGGGCTGGATTCAGCCCTACTCTTACTCCCTGGAAGTGCCATTCAGCTAGAGGCAGCATCTGCACGCTCGTGGTAAACAGAGGGGAGCGCTGGGGTAAAATAGCTGAGAGAACAAAACTTCGGAATTGCAAAACCAGGGCTCTTGCACGATTGAAGGTCCCGGCCTGTTTGCTCACACAGTAAGACGCCTCTTCCCAATTCTTTGATCCCACTCGGAACTTCCACTTTATTTGTTTAGATGGGCGCAAGCCAAGCAGCTGACCTGAGCACTCCGAGGTGCGTCTCGTGTGGGCTCAGCAGTCTCTTCCATGGCGCCAAAGGCCAGGCCAGGACGGAGGGAGATGCTGAGGGGTTGATCCTTCACCACACAGGAGGTGTTTGTTTAGTAAGTCTTGGAGAACACCCAGAGCCGGGTTGTGTCCAGCAACCTCAATGCAACCTTCCCTGTTAGATTTAGTGCAGCTGAGTCTCCTGTCTCTCTCCTCCAACAAACATCAACCCAGAGGTGAGGTGAGCAGGAATATTTCATTCCTGGATGAACGCCTCTGCATTCAGGAGGATTGAGTTGACGTGAGCTCAGGCCCATTTATTCCGGGATTGGGAGCAGCTGGTGCCCGCGTCCAGCAACCTCAATGCAACCTTCCCTGTTAGATTTAGTGCAGCTGAGTCTCCTGTCTCTCTCCTCCAACAAACATCAACCCAGAGGTGAGGTGAGCAGGAATATTTCATTCCTGGATGAACGCCTCTGCATTCAGGAGGATTGAGTTGACGTGAGCTCAGGCCCATTTATTCCGGGATTGGGAGCAGCTGGTGCCCGCAAAGGC